TAATCCCAGCACTTTGGGAGGCCAAGGCGGGTGGATCACTAGGTCAAGAGATCGAGACCATCCTGGTCAACATGGTGAAACCCCGTCTCTACTAAAACTACAAAACATTAGCTGGGCATGGTGGCGCGTGCCTATAATCCCAGCTACTCAGGAAGCTGAGGCAGGAGAATTGCCTGAACCCAGGAGGCGGAGGTTGCGGTGAGCCGAGATTGCGCCATTGCACTCCAGCCTGGGTAACAAGAGTGAAACTCTGTCTCAAAAAAAAAAAAAAAAAAAAAAAAAACATAAAAAAAAAAAAAAAAAAAAAAAAAAAAAAAAAGGGAAAATAGCGCTGTTTTTAAATTTAAATTTAAACTCCTCGTCGCTAATATGTAAGAATGTAATTTAATTTGCATAATAATTTTGTATTCTATGAACTTGCCATAATTACTTACCAGTTCCAGAAGAATTTTGTTTTTCAATTCTTTGGGATTTTATACACTGACAAAACACAAGGACAGTTCTCTTTCTTTTTGTTCATTTTGTAAGCCTTTCTTTCACAGTGTTTTGTTACTGTACCAGCTAGGACATCAAGATGTTGAATGGTAATGGTGAATAGGAGCATTCTGACCTTATTCCCAATACTACAGGGAAAATATTACATTTCTCACATTTCTCCTTCTTTTTACTACATTGCATGAGTTTTCAGTTTTGGGCTTTTTTTTTTTCATCCTAATTCTGCATTTTATCTCAGGCCTGTTGGGATAGAAAGAACAGCAGAGATCAGAGAAACCTTGGTTTCAATCACAACTTGGATCTCAGTCAAATTAATTTCACTCTTTTACATTTTGATTTTCTCATCTCTTAATTAAAAAAAGAAAATTCCTACACCAGTGGGTTGCTGTGATAATTACTTAGAAAAATGTTTCAGCGAATATTTATTCATTTAACATTTTAATACCTAACTTTGATTTAGAACCTATGCTAAATGCTTGGGAGATAACTTTGTGTAAGACACAGTGTCAGCTCTCAGAAAACTTGGAGGAAAAAAGTTAAGGACATAGTTATTTTCAAGAAACAATTGTAAGTACTGTGAGGACTATACATACATACAGTAAATTTTTAATAATTAGAAGCCATTATCTTCATTATCCTGTTTTCAACTTTGGCTACTCTTCCTCAATTGTCAAAAAGAACTATTAACATTCTCTATTTTCTTTCCCACATGATATATTGGTTTTTGTAATACAAAATTAGTACAGACAGTTCTCCAATGATAATCTCTTTAGTGTCTGCATGCTTCCATTTCTTCCTAATATTTTCACATATATATCTCAAAATTTCAATACCTGAGATATGTGATGCCAACTCTTTTTGGTGTCATGTATATTTTTCTTCCCATATAGTTCATATAATCTCTCTATATATACATATAATATTCCAAAAAGCAGGGGTGCTAATTATATTTTTCTACAAAGCATACTAAGTATTTAATACAAGGTTTTTTTGGTAACATTGATGTTGATTATTTAGGTGTCCAGCAAGTCCTTATAAAGTCTGATATTATCTTGGACTCAATCTTTTGCATTTTTGTAAGGAGTAAGAATGTTAAGTAAAGGCATGTTATTTAATATTCTTTAATATATATGTATATATATGTGTGTGTGTATATATGTATATGTGTATATGTGTGTGTGTGCATGTGTGTGTGTGTATATGCATATATATATATGAGTCTGTATGGGAGCATCAGCCCAGATTTTGTGTTTTACAAAATGAAATCACTGACAATACCTTGGTCTCCCAAAGGACGGTGCTTTGTTACCTGGCGACAGCCTTTATGACACTCATGATGTGTTAACTAAATATGGTTTCAGATCAGCTTCCAGGTATTGTCTGATTTATGAGCTGAGTATTTGAAATGGTTCATTTCTTCTTTCTATTGCATCTATTTTTGGGAGGAGGGAAGAAGCAGAGGTGTAAGGGGATAAAGCTACTCTATCCCCTTGGTAGTGGCAGAGCAACTGCCAATACAAGCAACTGGGAGAACATTAGCGGAGGCCACCCTGAGAACAGCTATCTGCCCTTTTACGCTTCCTGCTGCCTGCAGTGACCAACGTACGATCTTGGTTTTAAAACACAAAGTAATTAGTTTTGCCCTTTCTCTCCTAAGTTTCTTAAAAGTAAGCTAATGAAGAAGCAGCATTGGGAGGCAGTGGCTGGGGTTTGCATGTGTATGTGCGTCTGCCCAGGTGTTTAAAAAACACATTAAGTGCTGTTTTTGAGATTTTTTGGCAGTTTCTGCTGACTCTTTAGTGTCTCCAACATGATTTCTGCATCAGCAATTTTGTATTTGATTTGAAACACGTTCTAAATATTCTCCACCAGAGATTAGAAGGCAGACTTGCGTAGAATGAGTAAAGAAATTCAAAGAAACAATCTTTGAGGACCCTGGGATGCTGTTGTTTCTATCAAGGGACAGCAGCATTTCAGTACACATTTCTCTACTGAGCAGCAATTACTGACCAAGTTTTCCTCATAGCGAATGACCGCTATGCCAAATGCTCTACAACATTTAGGGGATGTCATTTGCTAATTAAAATGCATTTGCTCTGACTGAAATTTGTATTTTAAGACAACTGACACGGATTGTCTAGATGATTGCACCACTGATTTTGATACTGTTTTAAGGAATCACATATTTATTTTTTACAGAAAAGGAAAAAAGGGAAATCGTTTCTGCCATCTGGGAATTTAATTTAGTTGGGTGGTCCGTTTTGTAAAAGCAGTTTACCTATGTATTTTATAGGAAAAATAGTCACTATTTAATTCACCTATCTCTGATCTGAGTCTTCCAGTATTTGAATTATTCTATGGTACAAATATATTAAAATGACTATTATATATAAGAATCCCTGTATAGAACATCAGAGTGTGTGTGTGTGTGTGTGTGTGTGTGTGTGTGTGTGTATCAAATTTCTATTATATGCCAGGGTTCTTTACAAATGTTAATTCTCAGAACAAAGCTTTTAATTGCTTGTGTTATTTATCAGCATTTTGCAAATTTGAAAACAGACTCACAAGTCTTAAGTAATTTGCTGAATATATGAAGCTATATGAATTTGTGGCTATTTGAGTTATCAGCACATTCTCTAACTTCAGTTCCAACATTGTTTGCAATATTCAACTTCTCTAATGAGTCATTTAATGAGAAATAATACATATTAATTAGACAGATTGCACTTGTCCTATTCAATAAAAGCATATTTCTAATACATACTTAGTTTATTTTAAACTGTTAGTGGATTTTGTGTACCTACAGTGCACCTGTTTCACCTTCCTTTTCGCTTTTGTGTATGCAGCCATTTTATATGTAGGTGTTGTGATATAAATCGTAAAATATATCTTCCCATATTTGTGCTTGCCATTTGTGGGACTATGCAACAGTAGGCTGAAAAATAAAAACATACTTTGTGGTATTATTTGATACAAACAGTTTGTCTTATATTTCAAGTTGCTTTGCATAAATTGTTATATATAAACTTATTTGTACAATTATAATTTTAATGTTGGTTTGAAAGTATGATTAGATGTCAGATTTTAAGAGTAACGTAAGTATTTTTGAAACAGACGAAATTACTCAGCGCATTGTCAAAATAAAGAAAACTTGTATTACTGAATGCGACTCATTTGCATTCAATAATAATAATAATTTCTCAGTCAATATGCACCAATCTTCATCAAAAAGTCTTATTTTTAAAATTCAAAATAAGTCAGTAATAGTATATGTCAAATTCTGGTTTGGCAATCCTGTTCTTTATGTATTATTTAGTCTTATTTATAGGAATTAAACTTTTGGCTAAAAAAGGAAGTTTTTAACCTTGCCAAAATGAAGAGTTACATGCTCTCTTAAAACATTTAGCAAGAGCCACCCGAAGCACACATTTTTCATTTCCTCCTAGTTATTTTTAAATGATATTATCTGTTCCACACAGTTTCTATAGAACAAGGGAATAAACGAAGCAATTCATCTGTAAGAAAGAGGGCAGTGTTTACATTTAGAAATGGATAATGAGGGCAAAAGGCATTTGTAGAGATACAAGGAAGAGATAACAAATAACTACCCCAGATGCAGGGGGAAAGGGTCAGTGTCTCAAATGGCTCTGCATAGGGGAAGGTTCAAGAAGACTGAAATAATGGAGCAGACTATAAATTAAAGCCTTCAGCTCTCAGCATGCCTCTACAGTAAGCACTATGTCGGCGACTGCCCAAAAACAGAGCAGTATGGACTTTTCAAATTGAAAATTACAGAATTTGTCCAAATGTGGCTCTTTGTTCTCATGCCATCATCTTTGTGATTTTTAAGTTTTATAGGCCAGTGACTGATTTACTTCTATTGTGGAGAGAAAAAGAAACTCACTTTTAAAATTGGTGATTCAATTATCATTATTACTTAAATGTGTAATTTATTCATTTTATGAACAAGCAATGAATTTATTTTGAACCTGGTTTATTCACTTTCAGTCTAAGACATACACACAAATCAATCATTTCTGTGCTAGCCACGGCAGCCTCCCAGATTAGCTCCCAAATTCCACGCAGTGATGGAGATAGGACCCTGGTTTACCAAGATCATATTTACCATTGTCTTTGAGTTACTTTTATGTAACTTAAAACTTGTCATTTCTTAGAAACAAGATGTGGAAATAAGAAGAGGTATAAAAGTTAAGATTCCAAAATATGTCCAAAATAATCATTGAGAAGAACTTATTTTTAAGAGTTGAGGAGTTTAATAACACTTTAATCCCTTTTAACAAATAGTCCTTTGATTTAGAAGTCAAGGACTATTTGTTACAAGATATGGAGACTCTATGCCACCACAGAAGAGTTTTCTTTTTTTTTTGAAGAACAAAAGCAAAACCCAGAAGAAAACCAAAAAAACAAAAAAACAAAAAACAAAAAACGGTGTGTAATTATAGTATTAGGAAACACTAACCATTCTTAAAAATCCTGTCTTTCAGGAAAGAACGGTGACCATCAGAAGACAAACAGTAGGAGGATTTGGATTAAGCATAAAGGTAGCCTGCCTTTCTAGTCTATCCTTACAAAGGCCGTGCAATAAGGGCTGAACTTTGGTGCATTTCAATGTTTGCTGAATAATAATTAGATAAGAATGACTATAGCAAACTCCTTAATATTTGGACTGGGATGTAAATTAGGTAGGTCCTCACCAAATTCCTGCAAACTCTTAGCATTTGATTTAGAAAATTTAGCAAAGGATATGGGAACTTTACCTTACCATTGAATGTAAGTCATTAACTTTCTTTATCGAGTTTCTTCTGAAATGTTAAATATGATGTCATGTGCATATCTTTCTTTCTCTTTTTCTTTTTTCTTTTTCAGACAGAGTATCACTCTGTCGCCAGGCACCAGGCTGGAGTGCAGTGGCATGATCTCCGCTCACTGCAACCTCCGCCTCCTGGGTTCAAGCAATTCTCCTGCCTCAGCCTCCCGAGTAGCTGGAACTACAGGCACGCACCACCATGCCCAGCTAATGTTTTGTATTTTTTAGTAGAGATGGGGTTTCACCATGTTGGCCTGGATGGTCTCGATCTCTTGACCTCATGATCCGCCAGCCTCGGCTTCCCAAAGTGCTGGGATTAAAGGCGTGAGCCACTGCGCCAGGCCGCATATCTTTCTTTAACCAACTGGAGTAGGAAATGATGATCTTTAATAAAAGGAGCAATAACAATTTTTCACACTAATAAAGCCCAGTAGTAAGTGAGGCATTGTATTTTGTTCATCTTAGTTTTCGTTTTTTAAAAGGAAATGAGTGAATTCAATTTTATAGTGCTAACCATATAGGACAGGTGTAAGGTCTGCATAGGCTTCATTTTAAAAGTGAACATATGTATTCATTTTAATTTATTATCAAATATTAAAGGCTTTTATTTTTTCTATTATTGACTATTAGAGATGTACCATATTTGCAATTTATTATCATTGAAATGAAGGAGACATTTTTAAAGGATGGAAGAGTGTATAAATATTGAACAGTTAATCTCATGATTGCAATGACTTTATCAAACCTACATCTCTTCATAGATTAATAAAGTTTATTTTTATAATTATTGGGTTATTCATTTGACTTAGGGTGAAAATCATTTATGTATTTCAGGTACACATTTCTTGAAATTTCAACACAGCTCATGTCATATAGGTATGGAAAGCAGAACTCTAAATACTGTGAACGTCAGCTCTAGTTGACTTTGTGAAAATGACTCAGAGTAGAGATCAGTATCCAACAGTGTTGTATTGTCAATGATAAGAATATTGCTATACAGGGCATTAGCTTAAAAATATATTTTGTACATTCAGTTTATCAACATTAAACTTTATTTTATCACCAACTAAGACCGGGGAGGCATGCAGAACAAATTATAGGATGCGGAAAGTATGCCATGAGAATTTCATCTCTCAATAAATGAGATTTTTTGGTTTACTTTTTTTTTTTTTAGCCAGGCTGTTTATTGAGATTGCTGTAAAGAATTTAAAGGTACAACTAAAGATACTAGAAAATCCCTAAATAAAATCTAATAATGAAAGCTGATTTTATCTGAAATAATTCTTTTTACTGAACCAGGCACTAATTCTATTTCTGGTACTAGGGCTTACTTTAATTTTGTGTCAACTAGAAGTGTTCTTTTACTTTTTTGTTGTTTTTTGTATTTACAATCTAAACTCAATTATACAATGCTATTTGTTTTTACTAAAATACCACATTTTAACCTAGAGAGTTTTTAAAGAATCAAAAATTTTCCTAAATACATCTTTTCAGTTTTATATTTTCATTTCCAATCCAAACCAAACTATTATATATGTAATAAATAGAATAATTTTCTGAATTAAATAAATGTGTATTTCCCATTCAAAATATTGACCAAAAAGTGGTATTTGAACTATGATTAACATCTTATATTGGAATTAACAAAAAAGAACATTTTGCATAATTCTTATACACACTCTGACAAGGAATACAAACATCAATACTTCTATTTAGAATATTACCCATTCATCCTAAAAATATTCCTTTTATGGCTTTTTATTTTTTACTTCTCAATACTTACCTCTGAACTTCATTTTTCTATTTTTAAACTATCTTTTATTTGGATTATTTAGACTAAAATGTGATTCCTCTAAATAGCAATGTTATTACAAAAATCTCTTTCCCTGTCATATATGAATTAAATAAGCTACAGTGTTTATTTGTTAGCATTATTTTCCTTAGATCTGAGAATTTAAACACATGTATAAACATTTTTTTAAAATCATTCTAGTCTAGAATCAGAATTAGTATTTTAATGTTGAATTATTTATTTATAGTTTTCAGAAGCAATTTGGGCCACTAATGTAAGTATGCATATAAATACATAAATGCATAACTTACCCTTTTGCTTAGTTAAGTAATCCTCACTGGCACACGCCCAGAAGATTCATGATGAGAATTACTAATTAAAATCTTTACAGTCTCTACGTAAGGTAGCAGAAGGAAGATGATATGTTAGCTAACTGAAAAGTCATTTTCCAGTGTAGTTAAGATTCCTACAGGTGCCTGTGAATTCCACTGGACTCAGAACACATGGTATTTAGTTTTATATTCAAAAACACTCTTCTTTAAAAATCTTGACTAAAGGGTAACAAGTGTCCTTTTCAGTCAGAACGCAATCAAACACTCTAACAGGTGCTGCTAGAAGTCAAACCCAGCTGTCCATGCCCCTCACTCCTGATAGATCTTGCCTTGAGGACTTTCCTGGCACAGTCACCACTGTGCACCATGGCGAGTCCTCATACCTCCTCAGAGCATGCACAGGGACAGCGTGGAGCGGCTTCTTTGGTAGGTTTGAGTCCAGTGTTTTGTTGGTTAATATGTCTCAATGGCTGTGGGCAACATGACGTCTCTAGCTACCACTGTTCACAAATCCTTGATGTCTGCTGCCCATATGCAATATTGCTGTCTCTCTCAAGCCCTCCAGCTACAGTACCTTGTAGAGTGTAAGTTGGTGGGAAAATAAAACTTAGCCTTTACCTTTGTTTTTCTTCTTTATATAAGACATGTCTCTGTAGTAGGAAAGGCTGCGGGAAACACAGCCCTGGAACACGGAATGGGGGAGGAAGGAGTTTATCATTATTGTTACTATTACTACAGCTGGGAGCCGATCAATGGTTCCAAATTACCCAGCTCGTCTAACAAAGGAACGTTCTGCCTTTATATAGGCTCATACTTTAGATATTACACGTGGAAGAATCTTAGGTTTACGGCCTTAGAAATTACATAGGAAGATTTACAGATTTAGGACTCACATGTGGAAAGGTTTTGGGTTTACAGCTTTAGAAATCACATATGAAAGGGTTTCGTGTCTACAGGTTTAGAGATCACATATGAAAGGGTTTACAATTTTAGACATCACATATGAAAGGGTTCCGGATTACAGTTTTAGGACTCACATGTGAAAAGGTTTCGGGTTTGATCTGGTATTAAGTAAAGACAATGCCTTTCCATTTCCCCAAGACCAAGCCTGCCACCTACAGGAAGGTGAATCAGGAGGCTCCAGCCCGTCAGCCTTTTCTTCTATTGAAATGCAGTGTGGCAGTCAAAGGGGAAGTTGATCCCAGATGCCTGGGTCCCCTTCCTCAGTTCAACCTTCTGGGACAAAAATATGTGCAGGTGGCTTGGAGGTTGAGGCAGTTCTGTGTTTCTGTGATTTAATTCTAGGACTTTAACTCTTCCCTTGAAGGGCTAATGCCAGTATACGAAGTAGAGCACATTGAGGAGGGTTCCCACCTCAAAAATTCCTGAAATCCCAAAGAATAAGAGGAACATATATACTTAGTATAAATGAAAGGAATATTGTAATAGCTTTACATATTTTAAATATGATTTAAATCAGTTTGAATCATTTTTCTTTTCAAATTTTGTCTAGTTTTCTTTGTATTATTCCTTAATTTTTCTCTTTAAATTTTTTGAAGTATATCCTTTGGAGTTTCTTACCAAATCTGAGCCTGTCCTTTGAAAGTCATACTAATCAAACCATCTCCAAAAATGCTAGACACTCAATTTGGAACACAGCCACTCAAAAAGAATTCTGACATCAATTACATTGAGATTTAAGCTGGGAATTACTGATTTATCTTCATGGACATATTCATCCTTTAGATTCCTAAAATCCTATCATTTTACAAGAGTGTTTGACCCTGAATAGGTAAAGACCAAAATTACCTATTTCTCCATGTTAATTTGAAATAATAAGAAAAAATAAAAGCAAGAGCAAAGCCAGAAATGAGCTCTGAGCACAGTGGCCAACGTTAGCTCATGCTGCACGTGCAGAAGCGGATGCCTTGACCAGGGAGGCGCCGCACACAGGCTGACTCTTACTCTCGCATTCCCATCTTCCAGTTTTGATGAATTATTTGTCCTCAAGTCCTGGAGTGAAAAGAAATTCTTTTTTAACCTCTGGGGAGAACGCCCATTCCTGGATTGTGCTACTTTCTCTGCCTTCCTATCTTGTGCTAGGGTTATTCTTTCATTGCTGTTTAGCAAATACGGAAGGATCAAAGTAGTAATTGTTAATATTTATGCCCCACTTCTTAAGTGGCTGCCAAATGTAATGAGATGAACTTTGGAGGGCACGACACACACATTTACATCTGGGCCTCTGTCCTCTTCAAGTGAAGCAAACTCCTACTCTAGAGCCTCAAAGGAGAGAGTGATGCCACCTCCCTCTCTGATCAGAACCCCTGTAGGGCTTTATGCACCACGCTAACTCCTGCTCCAGACACCCTAGCTTACCCACGCTGTTCTTTCTCTCAGGTTGCCTTTGAGAGGCATCCTCACACCTGCTGTAACTTTTGGTATTTTTTGAGAGTGATTTAGGTTTCTTCCTGCCTATTATTATTTAATTTTCCTTGATTGAAACATCTGTCAAAAACCACACATTAGTGTTTTTTTTTCCCTTGTATTAATTTGTACATTAGTTAAAAAAAATCAAACTCTTCTATTTACTTTTTATAAAAATGTCCA